ATCCCACAGTTTAGAGGCATCCATTAATGAAAGGGTTAACCTTTTTCAGACACCCGATACCTTAATATCGGGTGTCTGAGAGTCAAAGCCGAGCGGGCACACATGCCGCCTTTTGCCGGCATTCTGACAGCTCGTATAGATCGAGAGATATCTCTCTCAAGCTATACTGGCTTTTTTTTTTTCTTTCACTTTCAGGAATAGATACATAATGTATCTATTCCTGAAAGAAGAATGTTTCAGTTTGCTGATCGTTGTTGTAACAATCAGAAAACTAGTGACAGCTGAATCCTGAACTGCTGCAGGATTAGTGTCACTAACTTATTATCGGCTGTTCTGAAGTTTGAAGCAGCCTGATAATAACCAAAAATGTATTAATTTATCAAGCAGTAATAGTGAGATTAATTCACAATGACTGCTTGATATAATTAATTAAATAAAAATTTTAAGTTTAAAAAAATAGTAAAGTGTGTAAAAAAAATAATAATTGTGAAAAATGTAAAAAAATAAAGGGAGAAATAAATTCATGTATTTATTGCATTTTTTTTTAGCTGTGTTGGTTTTGTAAAAAAAATACTACAAATGAAAACTGGGAAAAAAAGTGTTTTTTTATGTTTTTTCCTCTTTTTTTAATATTTTATTTGTCCTAAGTGAGGCGTTAGACACACATATGTGATATAAATATGTAGCCCTATCTGTCCTCTAAAAAACAATATATAATATGTGTGGGTGCACTTTGTAAGAAAGTATATTACTGACGTGGAAGAATCACACAGCAAAAATGTCAAAAGTGTGTCAGTCATTTACGAACCGACACTAAAAACAAGCTCAGTCATGAAGGGGTTAAAAGGCAATTTTTTTTTACCTCCCCCCAATGTTTATGTTAGCACTTACCTTAAATGATGTCTCTTAATCCGATCTTTTTTCCTGATGTTTTCATCTGTCCCTCCAGCGGTGCGGCGGCTCTCCGATCCAGCACTGCCTCCTATATCCTTGAAGGCACTTCTGATCCAGCGGTGTCTGCATGCGGGTGCACGCGTCCATAGACTTACCTTGCGTCTCTGCTAGTCTCCCGCCCGAAATCCGAAATGCGCATGCGCCCTCCCCAAGATGCTTTGCGGCCGCCCGAACAGTTTAGTTTTCTTGGACTGGAGCATGCATTGAAGATGGGGTAAGTGTAAACTGCTGTTAAATCGTTTTTGTTTTTTTTTAAACATTTTGCCTATATCTACTGCTTGACAGCAGTAGATATAGGCAAAAAAAAAAAAAACGGAGGGTTTAGAACCCCTTTAAAGCTGGCTATCTGCCCAATCCCATAAACGGAAAAATTAATCAGTCCCAAGTGGAAGGCAAGCAGCCATCAACAGCTGCACCTGCTAATGTACATTTAAATAAAACAAAAATGATATACCCAATATAAAAAAAAAGACATGAAAGGGGAATTTATCAAAACTGGAGCAGTTACCCAGGGCAACCAATCACCTTCTCTCTTCACTTTGTTCAGTTAAGATTTGAAAATGGAAGATAGAAGACGATTTGTTGCAGTGCACAGCTGCTCCAGATTTTGTCTGCTCCAGTTTTGCTAAACTCCCCTTATTGTCCTTCTTGTTAGAACTGCAGGATTCCCTGGCTGCCACAGTGGAGCCAGAATGCAAAGCACAAATAAAATGTGACCCGATATCTCATTAATGTGCCAGAGCCCAGTCAGAACCAAACCTTACCCCGCTTGTACTTTTGTGCCTGTTGGCTGCTGCATAACGCTGCAATTTTACTGCAGAAAGGACATGCTGCCCACAGAAGGAAGAAACCCAAACCCCTCCATCCTACTCAACCTGATAAAGGTTTTTTTTTTTTTTTTTTGTTAAAGCCAAAAAGATTAGAACGCAACGCCAGTTTTATTGACAAAAAAAAAAATCCCCTCTGGATGATCTACGTAGATTGCAAGGATTTTAACAAACATTTGCCAATGGTGTACAGAAGACCTTTAGGTTGCCATATTGCATTGACTATTTTCCTCAGTTTAAGAAAATTACCGTGGCTTCAGATTCAAAAAAGAAAAAAGGTAATTTTTTAAGAACATTAAACTATAAAATGGCTGGAGTAGTAATTGTGTGTGCCAGATTATTTTGAAGTGTTTTCCTTTAATGATTTTGAATCGCCTTATTGAGAAACCAAAACCCATTCCCAAAAGTACTCGAGTAAATATTTCTCTATTGATGTTTTTTTTTTTTTTTTGAAAACTTGCCTTCTTTTGAAATTCTTTTTTTCTCCAATTCCCTCCTGGAAATGAATTCTTTTGGCAAATCATCTTCCTCCTCTTCATCATCATTATCATTTTCCTTGGAGACTTGGGTGGGATAAATCTTTCCAAATCCTAGAATCTCCTCACTTTCTTTTAAAGCAGTCCTTGATTCTACCCGTGGAACAGGAGCTGTGGAAACAGAAATAGATAATAGGCACAATGTTTAACATTGTGTAGTCTGCAGACCATTGAATGCAGAACAGAGATATTAACGTGAACCATTATTACACCGATATCTGTGCCTATACTGGGCATAGTATTCGTGAAAATGCCCCCAAACCAAGTGCCAATACATGCGCTTTAAATCTTTAAACTGAAGCCGGCGCTGTAAAGAGGTGCCGCGCTTCACTGGAAGGCTGCAGAGGTCCCAAGCAAGGTCCTGGCAGCCTTTCTGTGAATTGTGGCGCCTGTTTATAGAGCCAGCCAAAAGTCTCCTCCTCCTACCTATGGATCCATGCCACCCGCACAGCCATCCCTGAGGGTCCAAGGGTCCGCACAGCCGCCCCTGAGGGTCCGCACAGCCGCCCCTGAGGGTCCGCACAGCCGCCCCTGAGGGTCCGCACAGCCGCCCCTGAGGGTCCGCACAGCCGCCCCTGAGGGTCCGCACAGCCGCCCCTGAGGGTCCGCACAGCCGCCCCTGAGGGTCCGCACAGCCGCCCCTGAGGGTCCGCACAGCCGCCCCTGAGGGTCCGCACAGCCGCCCCTGAGGGTCCGCACAGCCGCCCCTGAGGGTCCGCACAGCCGCCCCTGAGGGTCCGCACAGCCGCCCCTGAGGGTCCGCTTGAGACATCAGGCCGGCAACCCATAGCAGCACAGAGTATGTAGCGTCATATTATTTTGAATGGATGTAAAATGCATTGCTGGGGATTTGTAGTCCTCTATAGCCTGTTGGCATTTGACATTGCTGTATAATGTATCGCTGGAATTTGTAGTCCTCTCTATAGCTGGTGGTATTCTGCATTGCTGTATAATGTATTCCTGCGATTTGTGGTCCAGCTACAGCTTGGGGGCAGTGGCAGAACTACCAGGGGCACAGCATTTGCAGCTGGGACCAGGCCCTGGCGCTCCACCACTCTCCTAAAATCATTAGTCTATTGTTTTAGAAAAGCCGCCACAGGACATCAAAACAAATAAATAAAAAGTAAGTCATTGGTATCGGCACTCGTACTCAGTTTGGAAAAATGGTATCAGTGCATCCAGAGAAAAACATTTTTTATTGCAAGACACAGCTTGTTCCAAACTTTTGCATTGTCAATTAACCCATACAGAGCTATTACTGCAGAGTTTACCTAAATGTGACCCCGATTCGGACAGGAACCATATGGTGCCCTCAAGTGTTGATCTTTAACCAGATCCCTGTGATCATGTGCAGCTTGTTGAATTCTAGGCCAAGGCTGTACATGGGGCTATTCCTTTTTCTACAGTTGAGATCAAAGGCCAACCCACCCAACAGTAAACCCTGCCCACCCTACTTCTAACATTCAACAAATTACACTGAACAGTGGGGAAGCTGCCATTAAGCATACTAAATGACAAAGTGGAGCCTAATGCAAGGAAAGGGAAGAACTTAAAGAAGAAGTCTCAGCAAAAGTTAACAAAGCTTGTTAAATCCCCCCACCAGGACCCAGTGCACATAATAGCAATTGGCTCTGTTAAAATTGGTGCTGTAGTTTCTAAGCAGCGTTGTCTGATAACTCGCCCTTCCCATCGCTATCCAACCAGCACTGCAGCAAGAATATGAGAGTTCTGACTTACATGCACAGAGAAGAGGAGGTGGTACAGACACAGCCCCCCACCTCCTCTGAACGCTGCAGACAGAACATCTGCAGTTCTCCTTGCAGTGCAGACCATGCTTCCTCTGTTATGTTTAAGTAAAAGACTAAGCCAGTAATCTCCCACAGCTCCCTCTCCAGTCCGCAGCCATGTGTTAAAAGACTGAACTCCCTCTGCTTCGTCTCCTAGTGTTAAAAGACTGAACTCTCCCTGTGTTAAAAGACTGAACCTCGCGCAGCTGCCCCCCCAAACAGGAACAATCATAATTTAGGTTCATGTGTGGGGTGGAGTTACAGCCAGCACTGACAATAACAAATATGGTATTTTGTTTAGAAACCACAGAACAGATTTTAACAGGGACGAGTGTTATGTGCATTGGGTCCCTGGGGACTTTAACAACCCTTTTTAAGTTCTGGCAAGTTCCTCTTTAAGCAGGTCAGATGCATTTTAACACAATTTTTATATATCTTTCACATAAATATTGGCCCTTTCAGAAGTATAGAACAACCGCAAGAGAAAGGTTTGTATTTGAGGCAGCCTGATTCAACTTCCTTACTTAACAAATGCTCAGAAACCGATAAAAGCCCCACCATTAACCACTTCAAGACCAGGTGTTTAGACCCCCTTCCTGGCCAGGCACTTTAATAATTTTTTTATGTGTAACTTAAAAAATTTTTTTTGGGGGGGGGACTTCAATTTTTTTTCTTTTTTTCACTAAACTTTATCGCTATCACATACGGGGGCTAATAAAACCCCCCTATGTGATAGCAAAATATGTGACAGGTCCTCTTTATGGAGACATCAGGGGTCTCCAAGACCCCTAATGTCACCTAGGACCCCCAAACAAAAAATCCTGACCTTATAAAAATGGTGGTTCTGTCTGGACCGCGATCATCGACCTGCACTGGGTTGGTTATGGCTGGCTGACAATGGATACTCTGTCTGCCGACACTGGTGTTTCCACAGTGAGCCATAACCCAGCGCAGGCCCCCCCACTTCAGTCATTGGTTGTTAGGATCGCTGGTGTCAGACAGGGCCAGCTGCTACAACTACAAGTGATCTGAGCGCTTGTAAAGCCCCCCAGATCACTTGTACTAGCCCACTGCTGTGTTCCCCCTCCCTGCATCTGCATTGCAGCTAATGGCAGACCACAGTACGGACACGAACTGAGTGACCGTCCTGCCCAGAACACGTTCCGGACCTTGGCTCGATGAAAATTGTATTCACCGGTCCTCCTTGAATTTTAATTCACTACCCCTGGCCTATAATCTCAAACTATACAGGCATCAAATGTATTTAAATACACACAATGGCAGCATTATTTATATCAAGCTTACCATTAGCAGCCATGGGTACGTCTGCGGGAATGTGGAATTCCATTTTTTTAGGACCTACGATACATGGCTGTTCAAACACCTCAGATGGTAACAGAGGTGCATGTGCATGTCTGGATAAAAGGAGATGAAATAAAATTAACACACAAACATTTCAACAGATCTATTACACAGCTATATTGTCTGGGATTACTTTCTGTAGGGTGCCCAGCCACGTAATATATAATGGCAAACTTCATTTAAGACGTCTTAGGGGTAAATGTATGCCATCATCTGAAAAATTACAAGCACAAAATACAGGAAAAGTGTGCTGTTGCTCTGGCTAACTTTCTAACACACAATTCTGACCTTGTACACATCCAGCAATGTTACTTAAAGGAGAACTATGGGGTTAGGGCTTTTCCCCATAGTTCTCCGGAGGGTAACGGAAGGACACAAACTAGCGTCCTCCCGTCACCCAAAGCTCAGTATATTGAGACGCCGCAGCTGAAACGGATCCCGACAATTATGTCTGGATCCGCCCAGCTGCGTGAGTGACAGCTGGCTCTGCCTATCTAGAGGCAGAGCCAGCTGTACCCGCCCCCTCCCCCGTCCGTTCGCCAGTCAGCGCTGGAGGATCGGACAGGGGAGGGGAGAATCCAGTCACTCCCCTGTCACGGCTCTCTTCAGTGACAGGATCAAGTGAGCGAGTGCCGGTATGTGTTCGCTCACTTACCGATCTATTGAGCCGACCTGTGACAATTTCATTGCCACAGGTCGGCTCAGATTATGAGGCTGAGTGAAAAGCACTCACCTCGTAATTCTCCTTTAAGCATGATAAAAATGCCTATAAAAACAGCCAAAATATACATGCTTCCAGCACTCACAGGGGTGCAGCACGCGTGCTCATAAGGTCCTTAATCTTCATCTTTTTTCGAGGACGTGGTTGTTTCTTCTGACTTGGTCTCTTGGGCAGCATATCTGCCAACTCAGACATCAGACGGGTAATCCTGGGTATTTCAAAAGAACAAATCATGCATTAAATACATTCTGCAAATTTGAACCTCCCCATGGGATACTAGCTACTCAACATTGTTTTTCAATCATTGCTACATAAAATCAGATTTCCAATTCGGGCAATCTTCCTGTTAATGAGCAAAGCTTAGCAACTTTGACTTGTAAATAATACCAGTTAGCTATACTTAAACTGGACATGTTTTCAACTGAAAGTATTAAAAGGTCACCTTTTTAAAGAAAACCTGAATGTCACCTTGCATATTCAACATAACACCAGCCTTTTAATGAAAGCCTGAGATTAAATATTTTAGACTTAATGCAAAACCATCTTTAAAATTCAATGACAATTACTTATTTCCCCTGCAGCAGAACCATGGAGATCCAGAATGCTCCCAATTCACAAAACGTCTCAGGAGATATCAGGCATCCCCAGAATAGTAAACAGCTGAAAACCACATATAGGGCTGCTGTAGGTATTATATAAATCCTAGCAGCTGCTCAAATACCCAAGATAAACACTAAAAGGCAAAAGGCCTGCCCAACCACACTGATGAAAATGACAGAGGCGAATGGCAATGATATGCTTTAAAGAGGGCTCCTGAGAGACCCTGAATTCAAAGCATGAACACAGCCAGTGATGGAAGGTCAAAAGCACATCTACAACGTGCTTCTCTAGGTCGGTCCACTTGGATCAGCCGACAGGGTACACACACCAGCTCACAACCAGCGATGGAAACACTAACTATAAGGAAACACAGCAATCTTGTGTGAATTAAAGATCGGAGTGTCATTTAAGTCATGTTTTGCTTGGGGATCAAATATAATTTTACTCTCTGAACGGCAACTCAATGTATAACATTTGTATCATGTGTTTTGTCTGGATTTTTGGTTGATATTCTGTCTCTATCTTTTAAAATACACCTACCATAAAAATGATAGCCCTTTCATTTCTTTGTAAGTGGGCTAACTTACACAATTTGCAGGGGGATCAAATAATTATTTTTCTCACTGTACATACACACAGAGCTTCATTGGTTGGTATTAAACCAAGTCTTTAATTTGCCTGATCCATTAAATGGGACCTTAACTGCCCCACATGCAGTTAAAGAGGAGTAGCTATCAACAGCTGTGTATGGTAATGTACACTCAGATTAACTATACGGAGGCTGTAAAGAAAACTACAATTTTTGCATTAAAAAATGACTTGACCCAAACATGTGGTATGATGAGTGGAGAGGGATATTGGGTATCATGGTTGCAAAGTGCTCTAAGTTATTGTAGTACAAATTCAGGCACCTCCCTGGCCCAAATTCACCAATTAACAGCTGCCCTGAGCCAGTGAATCCGGCAGGCACGGTGAGTTTTGCATTTCACTACAATATTACAATTGCCAACAAGATCTGAATGTTGCAACCACAAGACACACAATCACAATGAACACTGACGGGGGACACTGGAAAACTACAAACAAATTTTGATTATTCCCAACCGATTCAGCTAAGAGGAGAGCATGTGCCTATCAGATATTCAGTTCAAGCGGTATATATTTGGTGAAAAAGATATCTCCAGAAATCTTGATCGTTCCTAATGAATAGTCCTGTCTATTCCTGGAAACCCAACAAAAATAGGATTTTGGTACTCACCGTAAAATCCTTTTCTCTCCGTTCATTGAAGGACACAGGGAACAGATCGGAGATCATGTACTGTAGGGTAATATCGCCACCTGCAGGAGAAGGACGCTAGGCACAAAAAAACTAAAGACCAATTACAGCCTAGGGGCGGCCCCTGCCGGTGGCCAAACCCCCCACCTGCTGACAAGTCTCCAGTTTAGTAACAAGCAGTAAAGGAGTACACACCCACATAGAGGGGTGGGCCCTGTGTCCTTCAATGAACGGAGAGAAAAGGATTTTACGGTGAGTACCAAAATCCTATTTTCTCTCCCGTTCATTGAAGGACACAGGGAACAGATCGGAGATCCTGTACTGTAGGGACGTCACAGAGCAGTACCAAAAAAGAGGGGTGGGCCAACAGAAACAACAAACCCAACTTAAAACAAAAAAATCCCCTCAAACGGCCGCCTGCAACACTTTGCGCCCCAAACCAGCATCCGCAGATGCCAAAACATCCACCTTATAAAACTTGGCAAAGGTGTGAACAGAAGACCAAGTCGCGGCCTTACAGACCTGAGAAACGGCGGCACCATGACGAAAAGCCCAAGATGCCCCAACAGCCCTTGTAGAATGGGCCGTAACAGAAAAAGGAGGCTCACGCCCCTTAATAGCATATGCCTGAGAGACCGTGTCACAAATCCATCGAGAGATGGTGGCCGACGAGGCAGCCTGGCCCTTCCGAGGGCCATCTGCAACGACAAACAGGGAATCCGATTCCCAAAACGCAGCCGTAGCACTCAGATAAACACGGATGGCGCGGACCACGTCCAGACAGTGCAGCGCCTTCTCCTTCCTGTGGACAGGCCTCGGACACAAGGAAGGCAGGACAATGTCCTCATTGAGATGGAAAGCCGAAACTACCTTCGGCAGGAAGGACGGTCGAGGCCGTAGAACCACCTTGTCCCGATGCAGGACCAGCAACGGGGACGAGCAAGAGAGGGCCGCCAATTCCGAGACCCTGCGGATCGAGGTGACTGCCACCAGAAAGGCCACTTTTTGAGATATAGTCAGAATTGGAATGTCACGCAGAGGCTCAAAGGGAGAGTCCTGCAACACTGAGAGTACCAGATTCAGATCCCATGGCGGCAACGGGGAGCGAACAGGGGGGACGATACGTGTAACCCCCTGCACAAAAGTGCGAACGAAAGCGTTGGAAGCTATCGGCCGTTGAAAAAGGACCGCCAAGGCCGAAATCTGGCCCTTGATCGTACTCAAGGCCAAACCCTGATCCACACCCCGCTGTAAAAAAGCGAGGATCCTGGCAACTGAAAACAAACGAGGCGGAAATCCTACCGACTCACACCAGGCAAAATAAGCCTTCCAAGTTCGATAGTAAATCCGTCGGGACACAGGCTTGCGAGCCCGCAACATCGTAGAGATAACCGCATCCGAGAGACCACGATCCCTCAACACCTGGCTCTCAACAGCCACGCCGTCAAAGCCAACGACGGTAAAGACGGATGGAACACCGGACCCTGAGACAGAAGATCTGGACGGAGCGGCAGGCGCCAGGGGACGTCCGCCACTAACCGAACCACATCTGCGTACCACGCCCTCCTCGGCCAATCCGGAGCCATGAGGACGACCGGGACGCTTTCCACCGCGACCCTGCGAAGAAGACGCGGCAACAGATACAGTGGAGGGAACGCATAAATCAGACCATAGCAATTCCACGGCGCCACCAGGGCATCCACTGCATCCGCCCAAGGATCCTGGCCACGAACCGAGCCACCCGCCGATTGAGGCGAGACGCCAGGAGATCCACGTCCGGGAACCCCCAGCGAAGGCAGAGCTGGTGAAACACCTCCGGATGTAGCATCCATTCTCCCGGGTCCACTGACTGGCGACTGAGATAGTCGGCCTGCCAATTGTCCACGCCCGGAATGTACACGGCGGAGAGAGCCGGAACATGCAAGCCCAAGCTAGAATTCTTTCCACTTCCCGAGCCGCGGCCACACTTCGTGTGCCGCCCTGATGGTTGACAAAAGCCACGGCAGTGGCGTCTGACTGAACCCGGACCGGCCGTCCCTGAAGACGGTCAGTCCAGTGAAGAAGGGAGAGACGGATCGTCCGAAGTTCCAGCACGTTGATCGAAAGCCTAGATTCCTCCGACGACCAACGGCCCTGAGCCGTCCAGACGTCCAGGACGCCCCCCAGCCCAACAGGCTGGCATCCGTGGTGACCACCGTCCAGTGAATGGGAAGGAAGGACTTGCCCAACACCAGGGACGGAGACCGAAGCCACCAGACCAGGGAGGCCCTATGTTTGGAAACCAACGGTGCCGCATCCAAGGCCGACTTACACAGGTATTGCAGACCCTGCACCACCTTTTCCGTAAGGTCGACATAAGCAGGAGACACGTTTTCTTCTGCAAGACCCTGACGCAGCATCTTCATCCACTCAGTCAAGGTCTGGGAGACCAGGGCTGAAGCCAACACGCGGCGCAACAGAGCCCCGGAAACCGAGTACATAGTACGCGCCACCGCCTCCCTATCCGAGGGATCCCGAAAGGAAGGCGAATCCTCCACCGGGATGACCGTAGCCTTGTTCAGGGAAACCGGCGGATCCACCGTGGGGGGAGTAGACCACTTGGACAGGAAGGACTCCTCAAAAGGGTAACGAACCGAGAAGCGTTTGGGGACGGAAAACGACTTGCTCGGAGCGCTTCCACTCCTTGTAGACAAAGTCATCAAAAAAAGGAACGTAAGGGAAAACCTTAGTGGAACGCCTACTCCTGTGCGTCCCAAAAGGAACCGGCTGGAGCGCCGAAGAGCTCGGAGTCTCCTCAATTTTAAGCGTTTCCCGCACAGCGCGAACCAAGGCCGTGACCAATTCGCGTTCCTGTACCATAAGGGCAGTCCCCGACTCTTCGTCACTAGCAGACTCCGCCTGGGAGGAATCCCCCAGGTCGGGCTGCGCGGCCGCCGCCGAAATTTCCCCCTCTTCCTCAGAATCCCCAGAAAGGACCGGGGAGGGGGCCGGCAAAGCGCGCTTCCGTGGAGGGCGCTGCGTCAGCGTGCGCTCCATACGGGACACAAAACCGTCCATAGTGGAGGAAAAAGCCTCCAAAGACAACATAGCGCCAGCGGACCCCCCACCCAAGGACCCCACAGACACCAAGGCAGACTGGGAAAGGGGCGCAGAAGTACAGGCCGCACAAAGGGGGGACGTGGGAGATGTCCCTGAAGAGAGGCCGCAGCCCTCACAGGGCACTGCGGCCAGACCGTCCCCACAGTCCATGTCCCCGGTAATATAGCTGCTAAACTAGGGCCACAAGCAACGCAAGGGAGTCCCCAGCAGGCACCGCCCCCACCGCTGTTGTCCCCAGCAATGGACCCCCCGCAGGCCGACGACCCTCCTACAGTAGCTGACTCCCCGTGTCCCACTGCGTCCTCACCCGACCACGTCCCGGCGTGAAAGACCGATCCGGCCGTGTGACGCACTATTACAGGGCCCGGGAAGTGGCGCACCGGACGTGACGTCACGTAGAGGGTGCACGCGCCCACAAACATGGCGGCCACGGCCTCCGAGAAGGCCGCAAACAAAGCCGGGGGCTCGATTAGCGGCCCCTGTGCACACGCGGGAGGAACAGAGCGGGCCACGCGCCCCAGGGACAGCAGCACCAGCACGGCAGCCCGACCCCGAAAAACGCAGCGGAACACGGCCCCAAGAAGCCACAGCTGCTCCCGCCGGCCGCCAGGAACCAAGGTAAGGCCCCACAGTGCCACAACACCCCTACGCCACCCCAGGAGCTGAGGGAGGGGGGGGGGGGGGGGATAGGGGGGTGGCCGAAGGAGGTCAGGAGCCCAAAGGGAGATCAGACCCCCACCAACCCCCCCATCACCGCCACGTGCCCACGCAGCGCCATACATACCGCCGGGGAACGTGGACCATCCGCAGCATCCACGTCAAGCAGCTGCGCAGGGAACATTGAAGATCCAGGTGCACAGGTACTGCGGAAGACTGGCGCCCCCGACCGCAGCCGCGGCGCCAGAAGCCTGTGGGGAGTACTGTGACTGGGCGGCCGAGACCCCCAGTCATATGCACCCCCCTGGGACGAACCCATAGGCCACCCCGCCAGAGCGGGACCGTCGCAGCCGACCCACCGCAGCGGGCCTGCATGCGATCGTCGGTCATCCCGGGGAGGCTCCAAGGATCCGAGACATCCAGCCTGTCGCCCGGACAACACTTGCTAGAAGATTCCACTGAAAAAGATCAGGAAGAAGCAGGTAAGAATACCCGAAAAAAATTCTTAGCTCCTTACTCCTGACGCTAGGCAAAAAACTGGAGACTTGTCAGCAGGTGGGGGGTTTTGGCCACCGGCAGGGGCCACCCCTAGGCTGTAATTGGTCTTTAGGCCCCGTTCACATTGAGCGATTTATCGCGCGATTTTTGCAGCGATATCGCTCATATTTCCGCGCTATATTGCTCTATGTAGCTTCACCAATACATTTCAATGGAGCTGTTCACATCTCGTCGCTCAATATCACTTGTAGCTCGTCGCTGGTAGCTTGTCGCTTCTACATGACCCTTTTTTAGAGCGATTTTGAGCGATATTGCATACAGCCCAATAGGAAGATGTGGCGCGATATCGCTCGTCGCTCAAAGTCGCGCGATTTCCACGCTCAGTGTGAATGGGGTCTTAGTTTTGTGCCTAGCGTCCTTCTCCTGCAGGTGGCGATATTACCCTACAGTACATGATCTCCGATCTGTTCCCTGTGTCCTTCAATGAACGGGAGAGAAAGGTGGTTTACTAGAGACTGTATTGTACAAAGATAGTCTGGCACTCCAGTTGGTCCTCACATTTATTGACTTGTATCTTATTAAAGCAGGCTGTGGAGATGTTCTTGCATTACAGCCAACCTACCTCTCTTTTTCTTCGTCATCTCCACTTTCATACTCCGACTCTTCTCTGCTTGACACATCCATATCATAGTCATCATCCAGCTCTGGTAGTGGAGGGTTCTCCGGAAGGTCAGGTGGGACTGGTGGGTATGGTGTTGGCACACCAAAGTGATCTGCATACTGATACAACATATATAAACAACTGTATGACAGGTCAAATGCCTAGACAACTTTTCATGTACAGGAAAACTTTAGATCACACATATTTACATCAAGAACATAATGAGTAGGGAGGGGTGCAGTCCCTTTTAAAGTGGTATACTATTTTTATTAACCAACATAAACAAAGTAAGTTCTGCTTTTTCTCAAAGGTGAAATGTTGAGCTGATTGTAAAATACTGTGTACTATGCCCCAAGTATTCGATGTGGTACATTCCAGACCAGCACCTCAAGCTATATAAACAATGCTTGGCTCTCCACAATTTTCCACAACAGAAACGTAACAAAAATTTGACATTTAATTTTTGTTATACAGCTTTACCCTAGGAGGTGACAGTTTCTGTTAAACTTAAGTAGGTTTGTTTTAATTTCTAGATTGGTGACAAATATGTACAAACTACTATACAGCTTAAACAACTAGTCTGTTTTTTGGTTGTTGTAGTAGTAAACCTATGCTGTTGTGCAAAGCCATACAAAATATATGCGGATAGTGTACTTGAAATCCAGAACCCCAGTGCTGCAAGTAAGTGTGTGACAAACATCTGCTCACCAGAGGAGGCTGTGCAGTAAGATGTCCAAAAGGAGCCGGGAGATTCATTTTGTTCATTAAATGCAACACCTAAAATAAAATGGATTTGATCAAATAGCGAAGACACTAATCACTATACTCAGACACAGATAAAAAACAATCTACCTACACCCGCATTTACATAACCAAGCATAGGAATATAAACAGGAAAAAAAAAAAGCAGGATACATTAACCACTTGAAGTCCGCGTTGTTTACACCTCCTTCCTGTCCAGGCCATTTTTCAGTGTTCAGCGCTGAGGTACTTTGACTGACATTTATTCCGTCATGCAATGCTGTACTGAAATTATTTTTATACCATTTTTTGGGGACAGATATAGCTTTCTTTTGGTGGTATTTAATCACCATTAGGGTTTTTATTTTTACTACATTAAGGAAAAATAAAAAAATCAGCTTCATTTCTCTGGCTATAGCAGCCAGATGACTGACCCGTGAATGCGGAAGTGATGTAATACACATCACTTCCGCATTCACAGTACGGAGGGAGTTCAGCAAGGAGGAAGATCCTGATCTCCTTCGCATCTTACCTCCTGATGCCCTCCCGAGCCAGTCCCGGGCCGAGTCCTGTAGCGGCTTTACACCACTTCATCCGACGCTTTGCATTGCACTTGGTGATGTAAGGCTTGAATGCAGCTGCTCGGCCATGGAAACAGATTCCATGAAGCTCTCTACACACTGTTGTTGTGCCAATCTGAAGGCCACACGAAGTTTGGAGGTCTGTAGCTATTGACTCTGAAGACAGTTGGCGACTTCTGCGCACTGTGCGCTTCAGAATGCGCTGACCCCGCTCTGTCATTTGACATTGAGTTGCTGTTGTCCCCAGTTGCTTCCACTTTGTTATAATACCACCAACAGCTGACCTTGGAATATTTAGTAGCAGGTAAATTTCACAGATGGACTTTTCTAAAAAGTGGCAACCTATCACGGTACCACGCTTGAATTCACTTAGTTCCTAAAAGCAACCCATTATTTCACAAATGTTTTGTAGAAGCAGTCTGCATGCCTAGGTGCTTGATTCTATATACCTGTGGCCATGGAGGTGATTGGAACACCAGAATCCAATGATTTGGAGGGGTGTCCCAATACTTTGGCAATATAGTGTATATAAACTTTACACATTTCTTACTTTTTAAGCAGAGGAAAAAAAAAAGTATTTTAAACACCTTTTACCTGAACATAGAACTTTGGGACGCTTGCTAGGGCATTTGCAATATTCGCTAAAACTGTGCTTTTAGGAGGAGGATATAAGATCTTCAGGGTGGATTTTATTGGGAATACTAGC